ACTCAAAGTTAGAATAAGGAAATAAAATGACTCAATGTTGGAATATAAATAAAAAATAACCTATCTAAATGAGAAGAAAAGAGTGTTTAAATACTAAATAATTAATGCGTATCAATGAACAATTATTATAATTCATTAATTATAACGCTTTATATAAGAAAATAATATGATATTTATAAACTCAGATATTCATTACACAAGATGGACGATTTGGGTTGGTTTGTATAGTTCGTGTAAATGACATTTTTCGGCTGAGACTAGCGCCAGAGGATGATCAAACCCGGGACATGTCTTGCAATTAAGCAAAGTCGCCCTACCCTTTGCCAACTGAAATACACGCCAGAGGCGATAAATAATCGTTATTGCCTTGCAAACTTATGCACAACACTGTCCTTATTTTTCCTCTAAAATTGGATTAAGAAAGAAGGTTGGAATTGTAACAAGATCTCACATTGCTACATGATAATATTGAACTCTATGATGTCTTCTTCATCATGGTTTACCATTACGTTGACCACCCCAGAGTCTGATTCAAATATCACATTCCCAACACCCAGATCAATTTAGAATTAGGAATACATAATCTATTATTTGTTTTCAAATGATTTGTATCTAGTGTTAAGGAGTTGTTTGTTTACCTCTTAATAGTTTCATTAAGAGATGAATCTTGTTTGGCGAAAAACACGTCTGTCTCTTAATGGTTCTAAATCATCTGAATAATTTTGTATCCAGTGTTAATGAGTTGTTTGTTTACCTCTTAATAGTTTCATTATGCACTATATCATAAAAAATTTTTAATCATTCTGACTACTTAATTATTTAACACCAAATCATTTAACAACTACTAAAAAGACAATATTCCTAATGTAAATAGTCTGTTTTCATAAAAATACATCATTTAGTATATAAAATAGCTTTTATAAAAATAATAATTTAACTAAATAATCCATAATGTGTGTAAAAATGACGTGTTTGTCTTTTTCTTTGAAAATAATGATTTTTCCTTGAATTCAATAATTTATTCCAACGTCAACTCCTATCTTACCGACTGCTTTCCAAATTCAAAGCTTCATTGGACCTTTGCTTCTTTTCTTTCCACAATCCCTTTCATCCAAATATTATTTTATTTTGTTTATTTTATAATAATAATAATTATTATTTTAATAAAAGAAAATTTGTCAAGTTATTAAAGTGGGAATAAAATAAGATTTTATAAATTGCTTATAATTATCAAAATAATCTTAACAATAACCATTATTATAGTTTTAATTTAATTTAAAAGTTAATACTTAATCTGTTATTATATATATATATATATACTAGAATGGTACTTGTGCAATGCAACGATGTACATTTTGATTCTAATGTTTCGTTTTATATTTTGAGTTTATCGATGTTATAATGCGATTTTATGTTGTATTGAGAAAAAAAACGTTTTTATTTTTGAATGAAATATAAATTTGAAGATATTATAAAATTTTGAAAAAAATAAGCGATATTGATATCGAATTAATTATTTAAAAGTTCTCGTTTTTGTGTAATTTTTTTAATTCAATTTTTTATTATAATTTAGTTGAAGTTTAAAAACGAATTAATTTATTTTTGATTTAATAAAATAATTTTTTAAGATAATAATAAATTATTCAGTTAGAAATCAATAATTATCCTAATTATATTTTAGATATTTTATAACTAAAATGCGATATTTATCCTGTAAAATTATGTTTATCTATAGTTAGTTATACGAATTCAAACATAAAGCTTTAATAAGTTATACTTATGCATAATTTACTTGTAATCTTAAATTTTAAGTAATATGCATCAATAAACAGTACTTCATGCATAAAAAATGGTTTTTAAGAGTTTTTGTCAAATACTTTATAATATAGTATATATATATATATATATATATATATAGGAGCTGGTTCAAATGCTAACCAAGATTATCATGTTAACTTTGTTAACTGATCTTGACCGTTAATTTGATAATAAACGGTTGTGATTTAATGATATTTAAAAATTAATTATTAAATTAATATTTTCAATTAACATATGTGAACAAAATATCAAATGGTATTTAGGTAAAAAATAGTCTATCTTTGATACACGAGTTGTCAAACATATGAACAACTTGTGTATATATTCAAACCACAACAAACAAAAAAGATTACACATATGAACAACATGTGAACCATATGAACATCTTCTGTATATTCAGGAGCCAACTCTGCTGTATGTACATGAACACCTATGAACCAAGACATCTAAGGCTGTGTGTTTTCATACGTATTCACATGTTTTCACATGTTACAGTGTGTGTGTGTGTGTGTATGTATTCATATGAACATCTAGTGACTTGAATATACATGAACACTTATGAATTATGACATCTAAGGCTGTGTGATTTCTGATGCGTTCATATGCCAAAGGTGAGAATTGTCGATTAAAATAAATGTCAATTATAGAACATGAACACGTGTAAAATCTCAATGTCAATATTGCATCATGATCAATTGTGATATTTTCAGATTTGTAACTCCCAATTAATTATTTGAGAGTTACATAAAATGACAAATTACTTAAATACTCTTGTATTTAATATATGAATTACATTTGAACCAAAAGAAAAGATGAAATATGATTGGTTGAGCTTTGTTAACATAGTTAACAAAAAAAAATTGGTTAGTATTTAAACCAAACTCTCTCTTTCTCTCTCTCTCTCTCTATATATATATATATATATATATATATATATTCAAATGCTATAATTATGATCGGCACATAACACAACTTGAACATGTTTTTTTTTGTCTTTTCTATAAAAGTGTTGATTTTTTTTATGTAACCAAAAGTCAATAACAAGACCAAAAACAATATTAGCTCATTATTTCAATAGAAATTTATTAAATGTATAAACAATTGCATTTAATTATGTTTTGCTTTTTTTTTTATTAACTTGAATATTCAACCCGCTATGCGAGCTGATTAATCCCATAATGACCATCTGCTTTGCAGATAGCCCAGAATCACTGCATTTGAACCTCCGTGGCCACAGAGAGATTTTTATTTATCATTGGATTTGAACCTGAGACCTCCTGGTACTTTTGACATTTGGAGCCAAGCTCAAACCAATCAGACACCACCCTTGTGGTTTATGTTTTGCTTTTTGGTTTTCCTTGTTTGGTTCATGATTGACGATATAATTGCATGTAATAAGAAATCATGGGTATAACAGATATATAATTGATAGTAATTCTATAAAGTTTTTATAAAAAAAAACATGGTATACTGTATATATCATCTCCAAAAGGGTCTTAACTACATCGGTCCTATTTAGGAGCTATTCTTTATCTGATTTGATAGGACTTACTATCCTTACCTGAGTTTGGTCACGGTTGAAAAGGAACGCTAGCTATATGCTCAACACATGCAAGTCAGACATTGTTTTAGTGATCATAGGGGAGGAAAATGAACGTGGTGTCCCAAAGGGAGGTGGTCAGGTGGGATAGTGCCCGAATCCGAAAACGAGACCTTACATACGGGTTCTCACCTTCTCACTGCTAAGACAATTCAACAGGATGAATGTCTTTACACATATAAAACTAGAATTCTCTCGAGTATATATGATCTGTCATGTTTAAAGACAATCCCCATCGATCCTTCATCTACAAGTTTTATGTACACGTATTTTATGATAAATCCAATTGATGAAGCATGCATCTTTTTTATAGCGTACAAAATGTTTTAATATATACGTTTAAAATAAGCAAAATAAATAAAAATAAAATAAAATTGAAAACGTGTCTTAATATATTGCACGAGTACCCTTCTAGTTATATATAAAATAAGTAAAATAAATAAAAATAAAAACAAGAATAAGAAATGGTATTCGAATAGAGTAATACAAGTATGATCAAAGCGTGTCTTAATATATTGCACGACTAATCCCAATGAAACTTTTGATGATTATTATATTAATATAAAAGCATATTATTATTAGAAAAAAAACAAGTGTCAATTGATGCTCTATTTTCAACGCTCAATTAATTATTTAATTAATTATAATTTATAATAATATTGTATCCAATCACAATTAGTGTACTGAGATTTTGTACATATTATATATACATAGATCTAATGGTACACCACATCCAATTTCATATGATTTCTGTCACCATCTTCGCATATCTTTCTCGTATACATTACTTTTTTAATCCGTTATTATCAGGGTTATTATTTATAATTTTATATAAATTAAAATCAAATTAAATCATACATTAAAAATGTAAAAAAAAAAAAAAATCTTGATGCTGATGTATAAGAAGGATATTAACATGCAGGGGTGTATCTAGTCTTTCTCGATTAGTAAGTATGGGTGCATTTAACAATATATATATATATATATATATATATATATATATATATATGATACATTATTTACATAGTCTACCCTTATTTTAAACATGATTTCAAGCTAATCAACTTCAAAAAAGAGATCTATAAGATGAAGGTGACAACTTAATGATTTTAATCGGGATTATAGATTGTAAAATTGACTTAATTATAATTAATTCTATTGAAAATTTTGTTAAGTTGATACGGGTTAGTTCGACGACACTGCTATAATAGGTATATGATGGAGATCTCAGGTTCAAATATAAGGAAGAATAAAAACCATCTTGTGGCCACAGATGTTCAAATACGGTGACTGCAAACTACCCACAAAGTAGGTGGTTGCATTGGGATTAGTCGACTCCTATAACAAGTTGGATATCCACGTTAATTTTTTTTTGAAATATCTTATATATATATATATATATATATATATATATTGGTTGTTAATTCCAGCTCAAATGATATTTTTACGGTGGTTTTAGACCCTCAAGGGCAGATATCAATACAAACCCCAAGAAACTGTACCAAGAGATCTCTGATTTGATTTGAACTTGTTCCTCCACGTTAAAACTAAAAGTCATATATCTTTTTCTACTCACAGTCATTCATTCATGAGTAGTACCCCCATCAATCATCACATAACATCCATCAGAAATAATATGTGTTGTCTTGTTTTCATCATCATCCATCTGCATGTACCTACTGATGATGCTGCTGCTGCTGTTGTTGAGTTGTTTCACTTCTTCAAGGTTATTGTGCAGTGGACTAACATGATTCTTGAAATATCCTTTATGTTCATCTGTCATTAAGCTATGCATTTGATCTTCAAAACCCTGCACCCCAAATTGCTCTTCTTGCTTGATCATCCGATGGTGATCTTTAATCTGGCTCATGCAACCACCACCACCACCTTCAGAGGAAGAACAATCTGTACTCACTTGATCACCACCACCAAACATGAGCATCCTTTCTTTCACCTGATCTGGGTAGTAGTAGTAGTACTCCGCCACCGGTCTGTTGTTGATCATGCTCTGACAATGGTCATCTTGAAACCCTGAATAATAATTGTTGTTGGAGATTACACCTGTCAAATTAGGGTTTGATAGTGGTGGTAGTGGTGAAAAGAGATCAGTAACATTAATGTGATCATGAATGAGGGTGGTGGCGGTGGCGGGGAGGTGTGAGTTGATAGTATTGCTAACATTCAGGAAGTTAGGGTTGTAGTTGCAATTAAACGATGAAGAATTAGGGTTGAAATAACTGTCTGATTTATGAAGATCAGAAAATGGTGGTGATGAAAGGGGCATAGAAGGGAAAAGGGATGGCTTCTTCTGGAAGGAAGGAAGCATGGCCAAGAGTTTCTTCCTGAGCTTGGTGTTCCAGTAATTCTTGATATCATTGTCTGTCCTTCCTGGTAGCTGACCTGCTATTATTGACCATCTGTATATACACATACCCAATTTATATATGAAACTAAATCAAGAAAAATGAACCAACAACAGTCTATAAATTTGAGATTTGACTTGGCATGCACGCATCCACCCATAATTCATGTTCAAATTTGATCTAGGATTTCATGTATGTTTGTCCTTTCAATTTTCATGTAGACAGGTATTCATAATTAAGAAATATATAGATATAGATATATGTATATATATATATATAGCAGATGTACAGTGCAGAGAGATGGATAAATTGTACAGTGAGAATAATTATATATATGTATACAGGTACAAATGAAACAGACTGTGTAAGAATCAAAGAAATACAAAACAGAAAGATCCAGATGAATTAAAGGGGGGGTATACGAACCTGCTACCAATGTTAGCATACAAGCTGCAGATTATTCTATCTTCATCTTCAGAAAACTCACCATGTTTAATGTTGGGTCTCAGATAGTTTAACCATCTCAACCTGCAGCTCTTTCCACATCTTTTTAAACCTGCACACACACACCCAAAACACAAATTGACCTTTTGATGGCTTGCAGGTTATCAATGGGGACAGAAAATGTAGAGAGAGAGAGAGAGAGAGAGTGAATATATATATATATATATATATATGTATATATATGTATGTATATACCAGCTTTGTGAGGAAGAGCAATCCAATTTCCACCAGTACCATGTTTGTCTATAAACTCTTTGAGTTTTGCATCTTCTTCAGGAGACCATGGCCCTTTCTTCACATTTGCTTTATCACAACAAGGAGCTCTTCCCATCTCTCTCTCTCTCTCTGGTTGTAGGTATCTCAGTTGACCTTTTCCAGTAGAAAATCTCTCTTCTCTCTTCCTGTGTGTCTCTGCTGTAAATGGAGCAATTTTGTCTGGTGAGTTTGCTGGTTGGCTTTTTATGTAGTGGGACTTGTTTAGTCTCTGAAGGTTGGAAGTTAGTAAAGAAGACAAGTTTTTATTCTTTTTTTTTCTTTAATCTTGATTTAATGAGAAAATATCACTGAAACCCGGTCTAAGTGTTGATTGACAGTTGCTGAATGATTAAGTGATCAGAATGATTAAGAGACTATTATGATATAGTGAAAAATTAAATATAATTATTTGGTAATTGTTTACAATGAAATTAAGGCGTTTAATGATTAAGGGAGGTCTATGATACAAAACCATTCAAAGGGTTTTGAAACCATTCAGAGACATTTTTTTTTGTCAAACAAGATTTAACTCTTAATGAAACTATTAAAAGATAAACAAACTGCCCCTAATATATAAAAGGAATTGCTATTTGCATCCTTTTAGCAACATTAGGTCAATTCATGTATTAAAAATGTAAATATGAGTTTTAATAATGTATATATAAAGAAAAATGTATTTAATAGGAAAACATTTAGCAATATATAGAAATGTAATTAGTCTTACACACACACACACACACATATATATATATACACACACACACACACTAGCAGAGTACTCGCGCAATGCAGCGAGACATATATCGATTTTAATGTTCTATTTTATTATTTGTCTCTGTTAAGATTTTATGTGTTTTTAAGAAAGCAATAATAATTTTATTTTTGAATAAAATATAAATTTGAAGATATCATAAAAATTTGAAAAAAAATATACCAATGTTAATATCAAATCAACTATTTAAAAGATCTCATTTTTATGTAACTTTCAAATTTATTTTTTTATTATAATTTAATTTAAGTTTAATAATGAAATAATTTATTTTTGGTTTAATAATATAAATTTTATAAAGATAATAATTAAGTATTCTGTTATACTTCAATGATTATCCTAATTATATTTTAGATTTTTTATATTTAAAATAAGATGTCTATCATGTATTTGATTATGTTTATCTACAGTTAGTTACATGAATTCAGATATGCAGCTTTGATAATTTGTACTTATGTACAATCTACTTGCAATCTTGATTTTTAAGTAATATATATTAATAAACAGTACTTTACGTATAAAAAGCGGTTTTTAAAAGTTTTTGTCAAATACTTTATAATATAGTACAGATATATAAATTGGCTTTCAAAATCTTTTTTGGTTCCTTTAAAAAAAAAATTAATTGTTGGAAAGAATTTTTTTTTTTTTTTCAAAATTAAAATAAAGATGTTGATTGTATTAATGATAGAAGGTTCCATATGTCTCACTCAATTTCCTACTCCATGATCGATATATAATATCCCATGACAAGAAACTAATTTGATTGTTACATATCAAATCATTAGTTATATCATATAAACTAATTAATTCAGATATTATAAAAACGGTCACGGTCTTTGATTATTTATTGTAAACAATCATAGTTCATTTATTATGATCAACATTTTATATTAAAAACAAACGAGATATTCATTAGATTAGATGAACGATTGAGATTAGGTTTGCAAAGTTTCTACATATATGACGGTTGATAAATGATCTATATACTCTCTCTCTCTCTCTCTCTCTCTCTCTCTATATATATATATATATATATATACATATACATACATATCGTAGAACTAGAAGTGGAGTTGTTCACGGGCGGATGACCCACTAGACCCGTCATGTCTGGCCCGCTAAAAAAGCGGGCTTGGATTACCATTCTCAAAGAAACGAACGAGCCTGGACTGACTTGTTAAAATTATTGAACGGACATAAGCAATGGAAAAAAAATTGGGCAGACTCGTCAGACCTATTAATATTTTTATAATAATTAACTTTTATAATTAAAATTTACAAATAAATTTAAATTTTTTTAATACTTATTTATTCCTACTTGGTTATGACTCATGATAATAACATTCTTTAAAAATCTTAAATTTGAAAATATAATTACCTTAATTGATCAATTCTTTATTATTAAATCATTTTTTATCCATACTTCAATTTAGTGAAACAATTTATTTCTAAAGTATATATATTGTTATGTATTTACGTCAAATTTTAAGTTGGAAAAATTGTTATGTATTTTGAATTATTTTATATAAGTTTGTTTTCATATAAATACAACAAGATTTTTAAACCTGTTAGTCTGTGGGCAAGCTCGGCCATTTTATAGGGAGGGTATGGGTAATTTTTCAAGCCCGTAAAAATGGACTTGGTTTTACCATATTAGGCCCATTAGACAAAAAAATAAGCCAAGTCCGGCCATAACTCCACACACACACACACACACACACATATATATATATATATATATATATATACAAATCCGACAAATAATTGCTGTAATACATGTTTGAGAATGTAAAAAAATTATGATTATGGTTAAAATTCACAAAATTAAAATCTCATTTGAGCGACCTTGTTAAACTTTCTTGCATCTTGAATTAGTTCTTATGCATGAATCCTTTCTGTACTTCATTTGAGATTCAATTGGAAAACAAATATTCGTAGGGAGGGAATAGACGGGAAATGCATCCCATGTCCCTGACTGTTTTACCCCCGGACCCTAATTTAACAACCTTGTATGCCCCCCAATGAATTTGGGGCGAAAGAAACTTTGTTGAGTATGGAAAACCTATGTTGAGTATACGTTTACTGATAATAATGGGAAATGTTGCAACAACAAAACGGGAGATGTAATTTCATGTCATTTATTTCCCTCTTGTTTACAAGTAAAATTTGATTCAAAACGTATCAATAAAATATCCAAGACATAGAAGTATTTTAGCAATGAAATTTTATTTCCCAATAAAATATCAATAAAATTTTATTTCCCAATAAAGTATTTTTGAGCATTGCATGTAAATAGTGTTATAATGCAAAATAATTAGTCTGGAAGATAAACTAGTTGACTCAATATACGTCACATGCGATTTGAAGGGACTACGAGACACAATACACAAGCCAAGTCACAGTGACCACGAAACTTGAGTAGACTCGTACGACCAAGTTGTATTGACTTAGTCAATCCTAGTCTTATCCAACGAGATGATGAACTTACGTTGTTGCACGTGAATTAGCTTAGGAAGCGAATCCAAGTTGCATGGGAAGTTGCATACCTCCTGTTTGGTGTAACGACGTCCAATATCAACACCACAAGAAACAATGGTTTTAGCAACGACATTTATCGTTGTTAAAAGCAATTTTTTTTTATCACAAACAGTTTATTTTGAATTTTAAAAATGGAATCTTAGACTGCAAAACTCAGCCATTTTTGCTGTTCTTTTCACGTGATCAACTTCATATATACTTTTCGAGTTTTGATATCAATCTTTTCAAAGGAAACTAAGATGAAAAATTTGATGTTGGTCTTCTACTTAATTATCTTTTTTATATAGTTTGATAAGAATTATTATCGTAAAATGCTGTTTCATATGATTTTTTTTTCATCTGAGACTAAAATTTAATATATTGTTTAACATATATTTGTTTCACAACGTGTTTGTTTCATATTCGGTTCACAATGTGAAACACACTAGTTGTATTTTTTATTTCACAAACACATAAAAAATGTAGACATTGTGAAACAAATATATGTTAACTATTACACTAAATCCAAGTCTGTAGATTAAAAAATCATATAGAATAACACATGATGCACCGTTTCTCAAAATTATCATAATTTTATGGGTTTACAAATAAAGATCCCCCAGTTAACAAGTATATTAACTATTTAATTATTCTTACAATATGGTGTAAATTACATATGACATATTCATTTTGATTTATAAAATCTTATTGTATTTTTCGTGGGTATTTTTTTGACTTAAAGATACCGAATTAAGTTTGGCCAATATCCCAGATAGATAATAGATTAAAAACGCATTAAAAATTATTTGATCAGTATAATTTATACCAATTTTTTATCAAAGTAATTCAAAATTTTGATAGAAAAATTAAGCAATTAATGGATGTTGTTGTGTATATTTTAGAATATATAATGAGTAAAATCTTATTAGAATTATAAATAAAAAATCATTTCAATGATTGAGAGTCTCAATCAAGAAGAAGGTGGAAATGAAGAACACCAAACCCTATAATTGAGAATCTAAATTAAAATTATATAAAAAATATTGGATTGGATCGTATTTGTTTATTCTTCTAAACCAACCAAACCCTCACCCTCCAAAAAAAAAAAAAAAAAAAAAACAAACAAACACACACACACACACACACACATATATATATATATATATCCATTCAGAAGAGAACTGACTAGTTCTTAGTAACCGTGAGATTCATTCACAATCACAAATTAATAGATAAATTAGAAAATCTATAAGTTTGGTAATTTTGAATTAAAATTTTAATGCAATGACATCTTAGGTATTTTCTCTCCTCTCTTCTCTCTCCGTCCTCCATTCTCCGCTGATACAACTGTGATACCTACAAATATTGATTATGTTAAATAAAAGACACAACGTGATACTCAAGTACATATAAGATGCATTGTGATATCATTGTGTTACATCTCCAATCAACCACACAAACAACCTCACACTACCCAAGCATATGTAAGGTACATTGTGATTTTACTGTGGTATCAACGGAGGACGGTGGCCGGAGGACGGGGGACGGGGGACGAAGAGAGAAGAGATGAGAGTTTAAAAATACCTAAAATGTCTTTGTATTAAAATTTTAATTCAAAATTACCAAAATTATAAATTTCCTAATTTATTTATTGATTTGTGGTTGAGATTGGATCTCACAGTTACCACAAACTAATTAGTTCTCATTTGATTGGGTCTATATATATATGATCTTCTTCATTTGTTCATCAATGTCAACCATCCAAAAAATCAATCAGTGGTTAATAAGAA